TTTCAAGCGCATGGTTGCGGAGATTTTGCTCTAAATCGTGGCCAATTGCCCGTTGGCCATACGGATTCGCGCTCCTCTCCCGCGTTCCGTCTGTATTTCTAACTTTTCGATTTTTTCCATCCCTTCTCGACCGATAAGGGTACGACTCGACCCGAAATCTACGAGAGCCAGTAGAGGGCAACCGCCCACGCGAATCTCAAGGTGTTGTAGTGGGGGCCACTCGGTTGGCTCAAAGGTAACGTTCGATTCCGGTAGCGTGTTCGCCGAGACATCTGCGGTTCGGGCCTCGTTCTCGCAACTTGGAGCCGTAGGGGCCCGTCCTACGCACTCCCCCCCCCCCCCCCGCGTTTCCCGAACACGAAGGGCAAGTTTTCGACGTAAAGCCGCGCTTCCCGCAACGATAGCAATGCAGCTGACGCGGCTCGGTACACTCACGCGCCCGATGTCCGAGTTTTTCGCAGTTCCAGCACTTCATCCCGGAGTCGCTGGTCCCGGTTCCGGCCGCGGCCTGAGGAGCGGACGTGCTCGCGGTCGCGGTGGTAGCCGTTGCGGCACTACTAATACTATCTCGTTCGCGAGTCAAACTCCCCGCCTGGCAGTGTCCTCGAATCGGATCACGCGGGAGTATTAACGGCGATCGGCCGCGAGGCCTCACGCCACTCTGACACGCTTGGCTCTAGAACACCGTGACCGCCGGTGCACGAAGCCCTCGGGGCACGCGCTCCGCCTAACCGAGTAAGTAAGGAAACGATGAAAGTAGTGGTATTTCACCGGCGATGTTGCCATCTCCCACTTATGCTACACCTCTCATGTCTTCTTACAGTGCCAGACTAGAGTCAAGCTCAACAGGGTCTTCTTTCCCCGCTAATTTTTCCAAGCCCGTTCCCTTGGCAGTGGTTTTGCTAGATAGTAGATAGGGACAGTGGGAATCTCGTTAATCCATTCATGCGCGTCACTAATTAGATGACGAGGCATTTGGCTACTGTTAAGAGAGTCATAGTTGCGACCGCACCGGGGGGTCTGGGGGGGCGGTTAGCCCCCCAGAATCCACCCCGTGGTCGGAGTGCGACTCAACGTTATCAGTACTTTCCTGCACAGCAGTAACGGAACCCGCCACCGTGGATTTGCCCATTACAGAGATACATACCCTTTGGATTACGCACTCCCGGTATAAGCGACACCTCTGGCCACTGGCAGACACGGTTTCCCGTAACGCACATATGACTCACATTATACCTGAGCTGTTCCCCAGGTAGCAGGGTTAAATCCTGCAGCGAGCATGACCTACTCGGATTAGATCAGCTCAACTGACAGGACCGGGGTGCCAAGGCACCCCACTAACAGGTAATGCGCAACATGAGCTTCATAGCGCTGACCCACACTAGGCCCTCTATGCCGCTCACTCGGCTATGCAAAACCTCTGCCCCTACGAGTCTGACACCATCTGGTAGGGCACCGGTAGCCTCCCGGCGGGGCTCCCTACCCCCGTAGTACTCGTGTCGAGCGATCTTAGCTCACGTTTGACGAGTTACCCGTTTACCCGCGCTTGCTTGAATTTCTTCACGTTGACATTCAGAGCACTGGGCAGAAATCACATTGCGTCAACACCCACGAGGGCCATCGCAATGCTTTGTTTTAATTAGACAGTCGGATTCCCCTAGTCCGTGCCAGTTCTGAGCTGAGCGTTGAATGGCGGCCGAAGAGGACGACCACGAGCGAAGGGTCATCATGCGCTCCGACCTTTCTTGGAAGGGTCACGTTTCACACATTTCAAGAAGGGTACACTTTACACTTCACAAACTGAAATTTCACAAGAATTCATTATCAATTAATCTACGTGTTAAACTTGTGACCACCTTGATTTTGCCTTTGTTGGACTACTGCTCTCTTGTATACAACGACGTGACCGAGGAGCTAAATACCAGGCTTCAGAGGCTCTTAAATTGTGCTATTTGTTTCATTTTTAATTTAAGGCGTGACGAACGCATCACACCTTACCGGCATCAATTGGGGTGGTTATCAGTCAAATACCGCCCTCTTTACTTTCTTGGTATCGAAATGTTTAAGGTGTCCCATGACTTATCTCCTAGTTACCTCTCTGAAATCTTCGTTGATCACAACCCCTCAATCAGGCGATCGTCACGACTGGCGCTACCGCACTCTTTTTATGTTCCAAATCACAGAACTGAAACCTATCGCAGGTCCTTTCATCTCGCGGGCATCTACTTTTGGAACTCGCTTCCTTATGATGTTGTTTCAGCAACGTCTGTCGCCGTTTTTAAGGGTAAGCTATACGACTATTTTTTCTCGCTTGAGCGTAACTCTATCTAGAGCCTTATTAGTCTCTGCCTTATGCATGATCTGATTGAGTGTCAATCTATCGCTTATACGTCGATTAGTTTAAGTAACTTTTAGTGTTCATTAATTGTTCTTGCGTTTCTTGCAAGTTGAATCTGAGACTTTTTTCATTGCTCTGTGCATCTTTTGCGTACTATTGGAAGTGTGCTTCAACCCTTTTCTTCACTCTACCGATTCTTCCGCTTAGGTTGCAGTTCCACTGCTGGTTGCTGCTTAATGCACATCTGTCGCTTTTATATTATACTATTTTATACTGTTCCTCTTATGTGGATGTATTACTTCTGTTCTTATTTACAACTTTTTGTTTTTTTTCCGATTGTTCTACCTTTGTAATGCATTACTTGCCTAAAGTCATTGACTATGGCATAAAATAAACCAATCAATCTCTCTCTCTCTCTCTCTCTCTCTCTCTCTC